AGGCGTTGCAAAGCAAATGAAAGCTAATGTTGAATGACTGGGAGGCGGAAAGTTCCTTTTGGGAATGAAAAGCCGTGGTTAACATATTCAGAACCCCGAAAGACAGATTTATCGTGAGTGGAGATATGAGATAAAGAGTGATACATTTTCAGCTTCTGATCCTGAAGTGCATCACAACATGTTTGGCTTTTTCAGACGAATTTTCCTCAGTCAAATCGAATGAGGAATTTTGTGAAGAATTTCGTAGTCGTTGAAAGAGTTTGGCGTGAAATAAAAACTACACAAAAACTACGAAGGGAAATCGGCTTCAGAAATGGTATGTTTGTATATACTATAAGACTACCTAAAATTGTGTTGGCAACGAAAAAACTCTTGTTGAAGGACTTCTTTGGTCACAAGCCCAAAATTTATCACGCTATAAATGGGAATTTGGACTTGTGTCCTTCGAGGCACTTTATATGCCCACCAAGACCTTTTACCTCCAAAATTATCGGTCAATTTAAGTCATTGTTAAGTTCATAGACAGTCGAACAATCTGCATTATAGTATTTTTGGTTCCCAATGAGTATAATAGATGTTCTTAGGGATTGGTCAATGTAGGTCTAGGCTACGACGCATTTAATGTCTGATTGAGATGAAATGTTGCACAATTCATTTGTTTTGCGGTAGGATGACCCTATTAGAATTAGTTATACTCGGGCCAGATTTAAATATAGCTTCCGTATATATCTTCCTCCAATTGCAAGTTTATTCTGCACCAAATATTTTATTACAGCCGAAGCTTATATGTCAAATTTGGTGAAAATCTGTTCAGACATAGCCCGAGCTCCTACATACAGGATGAGATAAAAAACTGCAACAAAGTCAACAGCCATAATTTTTTATATATTTTTTTAATATTATTGAATGAAAGCGAAAATGTTGGAAATAGCATTAAATTTTAGAATAAGTACAGATTTGTTAGAATTGGTAACCTTCGGCACGAATTATGGTCTTCAAACGGCCACTGAAAAAGTCACGCGCTGCCCGAATGTTGCTCTGCGGAATTTGGCTCATTCCCAGCGAAGCACTTGCTTGAGGTGATCGATACTTTGGTATTTTTTTTTTTTTTTTTGGACCCACTTTGCTTTCCAAAACACTCCAGATACAATAGTCCAACGGCCATTGTGCGCTGGAAATGAAGCAAGGAACCTCCTGTTGTAACAATTCTGAGTCCTGTGGGACATTCCAAGGTCTGCGGCAAAATGTTTGCGTGCCCAAGACTTTAATACACTCTTCAGAATATTTTCGCGACAACATTCGGCATTTATTCTGATGCCACGGTCGATTAATACGAGTGGAGAGCGAACATCGGCTGTTATGGCGGCCCACACCATCACCATGGTAGGCGCTTGAGTTCTGGTGGCCAACCGAAGGTGCACATTCTCAGCTGACCTCTTTGGCAAGTAAACACCATCATTTTGTTTTTTCACAAACTGTTGGACAACGAATGTTTTCTCATCGGAAAAAACCAAATCCGGCAGTACACCACTTTCGGCCCAGCGAAGCAACTCTGTAGCCCTGTTGCAGTGTAAGTTCTTGCATTTTTAATACACTGTGCCATAGTAGGAGGGTATATTAAGTTTGTCATTCCGTTTGTAACATCTCGAAATATACATTTTAGAGCAGCTATGGGCAGCCTCGGACGAAAAAGTATAAACAAACCAACACGAACTCGCAATGAGAATAAGAATCAGTCGTCGATGAGACACCGACGAATGAAGACGTGTGTGGCTGCACGCATTGCTACCGTTGATGTACTTAGCGAAACAATAGTTTCATTTGCATTATTTTATTTCAGGTTAACTACATGCTACAATCATATTTTATGGTTAAAATTGCTTTTGATAATATTCAATGCATTTTATGTGGCAAAATAAAAAATATGACGTAATGAGACGTCATTTTAACAATTTTTTAAATGTAAATATTAATATTTTTATTAAGTGTTCTCTGCTTCAAAAGCCTTAAATCTCCATTTTTTTATTTAACTACTTTTGTGTCGATTATTTTTAAATTAACCGGTGAATTTGTTTTTTTACATTTAAATTAATTTTTTATTTATGTTTTTAGTTGAATTAAAATTTAATTTATATATTTGTATTTATACAAAACAAAACATTTCACTCTATAATATGCTAGTACACTGTAATAATAATATCATTATGCATTAGTTGGCGCCAACAACTCATGAAATTTCTTTGAGTGGACGTTCTCTCTCTCGCACCAATACACATTCATTTTTTGTTTTGAGCATCCCTGTTTTAGAGCCCACAAAGTATATATATTCTTGATCTGCATAAAATTCTATGTCGATTGAGCAATGTCGGTCGGTCTATCCGTCTGTGGAAATCACTCTAGCTTCCGAACGAAATGAAGTAGATTAATAAAATTTTATTCAAATATGTATTATGTCTGCAGGACTTTTGTTATTGAAAATGGGCCATGTAGGTCCACGTTTTGGTATAGCCTCATAAAACGGTACTTCCCGATATACGGTATTTTGATGATTTTAGGAAATTTATTTACCGGAACTATTTCAAATTTGGTATTTGAGTTTGGTAATGAATACTACAACATATGACAGAAAATTGTCTGTGCAGGTCCACGTCTTCGTATAGACACATATAACGGTACCCCCCGAGATTTGGTATTTTGATGACTTTAGCGACATTATTTACCGGAATTGTTTCAAATTTCGCATTTGAAGTTCGTAATGGATGCTACAGCCTATGACAGTAAATTGTTTGTGCCAGTCCACGTCTTCGTATAGCCCCCATATAACGGTACCTCCCAATATTCAGTATTTTGATGATATTAGCGTCATTATTTACCGTAGTAGTTTCAAATTACGTATTAAGAGTTCGTAATAGGAACTACAGTCTGAGACAGAAAATTGTCTGTGCAGGTCCACGTTTTATTACCCCCATGGTACCTCCCTATTCAGTATTTTGATGATTTTAGCTATATTATAAACTGTTTTTTTTTTTTTAAGTTTCGTATTTGAATATTGTAATAGCTTGTGGCAAAAATTGCCTATCCAAGTTGCAGGTCCACGTCGTCGTATAGACCCTAACATACGGCTACATTCGGTATTTTTAAGATTTTAACAGAATTTTTAACGGATTTTATTTTTTTTTTTGATAATTGCCAAATATGTACCAAATGGTGGAGGGTATTCAAAGTTCGGCCCGGCCGAACTTACAGTTTTTTTACTTGTCGAGCTCATTTTTCATTATTTGCCGAATGGAATATTGCGATATGTTCAGCTCACGAGCTATTTTTCGGCCACTGTGACGCGGATTCCGATCAAGTCGCTTCCTTACTTTTCAAACCATTTGTGCTGATGTTGCTATTTTCTTCCATCCACTATCTTGACGTCGGGCTACGCTACCAGTATCACGATAACGAGCGATGGTACGAGACACAAAAGATTTATTCACATTTAAATGCTGGAGTGCTCTAACGATAGCCAGGCAAATATAAAGAAATCACGCTATCACGCTTCAATTCCACACGAATAACTTTTTTTCTGGAAAATTCTTACCAAGATGCTTGTGTACGCTTGTAAACAATAGAATGAGCTGTCACTAGAATAATTTTAACAGCTTAGAAACCTTATTAGTTTGGTTGCGCCCTGCATAAAAACTACATTCCAAATTGTAGAATTGTAGCAGTTCAATATTTAGTACCTCTTAGGTAAATTCCAAAATTTTCACCTTTAATTATGTTTCTCACCAATAGTACAAGATGTCAAGATTCTAACAGCAAAACATAATATTTTGGCTAAAAAGCAAAATTATTAATACATTTTGGTGTCTAATATTTTTGGCACAAATTTTCATATTCACTGCACCCTTTACACCATAAGTGACCACATAATAAATTTAGAAATTCCGATTTTACTCAATTGCATTCGCAAAATATTTTAAATCATCAGGCAACAAAATATAAAATTTAAGAAATCCAGCTAGTATTTAAAACTCTTTAGTACCTTATTTTGTACGAACTTTTGAAAACACTACCTCACTTGTACTTTAGATGCTAATTTTATGGCGAATATCTGCTTATTTATTGTTAAACCTTATTAGGATCTCTGGTTAAACTGAACTGTTTTGAAAAGTATTTCTAGAGCCACAAGTCTATCTTTATGTTAATAAGTCAAAATTAGACAACACGTCGAAATATTCGCCGGAAACACCAAATTGTAAACATTTTCTGGATCACTGCAAAACTGGAATCAGAATAGAACACACTATTTCATATCCTCTATATTAGGATAATCCCAGTTTTTTTTGGGAAAACCTTAGCACATTTCAAATCAATTTTACTTTAAGTCGTGGTTACTTCATGTTGAACGTAATATGATTTTGAATACCTTTTATATCAAAAGACTTTTGTCAATTATTATTTTTTTTAAATCCAAAAACACTGTTTATATATGGTGTTGATCTCACCCGAAATGATCTGTACCCGCAATCTCCCACCATTATAGAATTATCTCTCAATCACTCTGGACTACTCAAATTAATCTTATTGATAGATAATAAGTTAATATAATTACGCTGCATTTTTTACTATGACACTTAAATTGTGGTAATTTTCGAATTAAAAGTCCCATTCTCGTCCAATATTATCACTTTCATTTATTTCGAAGTACGGATGTGTGATAGTTTTGAATTCATCAACCATTAATTAAAATCTATTAAAAATTCCATATTTTCTGGTTTTTCTGCATTCTCCCTGTGGCCGGATTCAATATCGTCAGACACCGAATTTAAGATGATACTCAGATGAATTTATTTATGTTTTGAGATAATTATAGAATTGTTATGCATAATTGGCAAAAAAAGAAAAAAAAAAAACAAAATACAAATATCAAAATTAACCACTAACTAAGAATTTGTTGTTGGCTTTGCATGATAAGCGTGTGGTGCAATATATCGGGTTTTTTATCTTTTGATGGAAAAAAATCTTTTCTAAGAATAATATTTAAGTTAGTGTTGGGCTGGTTTGCCAAAGTAGTTTAGACATAACCGTTCAATTTAGAAGTTGGTTAAGCACTGATTTGGAACTAACTGCGGCATTGAATACTAGCGTAATGAGAGTTTTCACCTGCGTTGTGGTGATTCTAGTCGCCATGGCTGCCTGCACCCATGGCCATTCTATACAGAAGCGTTCTTTGCAAAGCTTGATTCAGACTAAACTCTCATTGTTGAGCAGTTTGGGTGGATCCTTTGGCGGCGGTGGTGGTGGAGGAGGTTATGGTGGCGGTAGCAGCTACGCCAGTAGCGGTGGATACGGTTACGGTGGTGGCGGCCACGGAGGCGGTGGATACGGTGGTGGTGGCCACGGAGGTGGTGGCGGCGGCTACGGCGGAGGTGGTGCCACTAAGGTTATTGTCGTCTTGGCAAATGCTGGTGGTGGTGGCGGCGGCTATGGCGGCGGCCATGGAGGTGGTTATGGTGGTGGCGGCGGCTATGGCGGAGGTGGTTATGGCGGCGGTGGCTATGGCGGCGGCGGTGGTTGGAAAGGCGGCTGGAATGATTAAATCCTGCAGCAGTCTTGTTGATAATTGCCAACAGTTAACCTGATCCAAAAATTAGTTCTACGAAATAGTTGCTTAAGAAAATTGTTAAATGTTGTTAAAAATACACATTCTGATATTAAAAACAAGATCTGACGCTTGAGTCTAAAATTCCGTTCCAAATATCGACAAATACGTATTAATGGATATCAAGGGAAACCGGTAATTCTTAACGTTATAATACTTTTTACTATACAATTTAGGGTTGCGCCTTTCAGTTCGTCATTCCGTTTGCAACTCCTCGAAATAAGCATTTTAGACCCTACACAGTATATATTCTTGATAAGCATAAACTACTATATCGACTGAGTCATGTCTACGGACCTTTGGGGCCAAGTAGGTTAAAAAAAATTTGCTCAAATGGTTTTGGTAATAAAAGGGAGATATGTGGCTCCACGAAGGATCTTGCAAAGAACTGTCCAAATAGGTCAAAATTGTGGTATAGACCCTATATATCACCATCAATATTCTGCATTTGGATGATTTTAACTGTAATATTTAGATGTAGGTCCTTATACAATTCTGTTCGACAATAATTAAATAAGCATTACGATTTTGTCCTTTCCTTATTGATATCTTATCTAAAATCGATTTGATCAAGTAAAAAAAAGCTTAAAGTTGGGCGGGCCGACTTTATGATACCTCACACCAACTTGTACGGGTGAAGCTATTTCTACTAAATTTGCGGAGGCTTTTTTACTAGAAGCTAAATTCATCAAAAGTATTTTTTTAGCTGATATTACATTTTCACATAGGCCCAATAAACGTGAATTCGGATGTAGATATATGTGAGAGCTATATCAAAATCTGAGCCGATCTCTGTAAATTTTGCAGAGGTATTTATTTGCTGTATCTGATAGCTGTCGCAAAACATCGTCGTTGTGTTGAAAATTTTACGGGTATGAGGGATTTATATATATTGGAACTATGAACCGACCTGATAAAATTTGATTTGATGTATTTCCCCGAATATCATTATTTAGGAGCTCATATTACGGCTGTGGGGTACAAAAATAATAAAAAAGGAATAAAAATATATATTAGGGCTATTGTTATTGGCACACTTATTTCTACGATGAGTTTGGTGGTATATGCTAAGTTCCATCCTAATTGGAGTAATATTACACATAAAAGGTAAATCAAAAGAAGATATACGGGTGAGATGAAAATACTGCAACCAACTTCAGACTGCTGTCATTTCGAAGCCACTCGTTGACAGCTGTTAAAATTATTCCAGTGATAGCTCATTATATTGTTTACAAGCGTATAAAAGCATTTTGATTAGAATTTTCCAGAAAAAAAGTTATTCGTAATGGAATTTAAACGTGATAGTGTGATATCCTTATATGGGGCTGTAAAACCACAAGTGGATATCGTTAGGGCACTCCAGCATTTAAATGTGAATAAACCTTTTGTGTCTCGTAACATCGCTCGTTACCGTGATACTGGTAGCGTAGCCCGACGTCAAAGAAGTGGACGTAAGAAAACAGCAACATCAGCAGAAATGGTTCGAAAAGTAAAGAAGCGACTTGATCGAAACCCTCGTCGAAGTGGCCGAAAAATGGCTCGTGAGCTGAACATATCGCAATATTCCATTCGGTAAATATTGAAAAATGAGCTCGGGGTAAAGCCATTTAAATTCCAAAAAGTGCAAGAATTTACACCGCAACAGAAAAAAATATACTCAAAAGAAATACCGAATTTGGTTTTCTCCGATGAGAAAACATTCGTTGTCCAGCAGTCTGTAAAGAAACAAAATGATCGTGTTTACTTGCCAAAGAGGTCAGCTAAAAATATGTACCTTCGCTTGGCTACGAGAACTCAACCGCCGGCCATGGTGATGGTGTGGGCCGCCATAACAACCGATGGCCACTCTCCGCTCACATTAATCGACCGTGGCATTAGAATAAATGCCGAATATTATCGCGAAAATATTCTGGAGGGTGTATTAAAGCCTTGGACACACAAACATTTTAGCCGCAGGCCTTGAACATTCCAAAGGGACTCACCACCATCGCACTCAGCACGCGCCACCCAAGAATGGTTACAAAATGAGGTTCCTCGCTTCATTTCCAGCGCACAATGACCACCAAAATCTCCGGATATCAATCTACCAATCCGTTGGACTATTGTGTCTGGAGTATTTTGGATATCAAGGTTGGCACTAAAACATACCTCAAGCAAGTGCTTCGCCGGGAATGGGGCAAAATAAAGGAGTGCAACATTCGGGCAGCCTGTGACGGTTTCATTGGCCATTTGAAAGCCATAATTCGTGGCAAAGATGACCAATTCTAAACTTTGATGCTATTTCGGACATTTTTTGCTTTCAATCAATAAAATTAAAAAAAAAATGTAAAAATTCTGGCGTTTGACTTTGTTGCATTTTTTTATCTCACCCTGTAGTTACGTCTCAGATTTATCCTGCATTCTTTATAAAATATTTCGTCCTATGATACTTTCATACATCAAATTTAAAAGGGTCAAAAAATTAGGAAATATTTTTTTTTGCATAAATAATGCAGATAGATGCTCTTTTCATTGATGACTTTAAGTAAAATTTGATAAAAAATAATTTTGCTTTTATCCTCATTTTTCTAAAATGCTACTTTGTAGGATAATTTTGCATTAATTCACCCAAAGTCCGGCTTTAACCCATAAATGTGTTTTTATACCCTACAACAATATTTTTTGGGGGTATTATAAGTTTGATCGGGCCAAAAGTTATGTAAAACCTCGAAATATTTTTTTCCAACATAGGAAAGTATGTGTGGATTTTCCTATCTCGCCGAGCTGAGTCGATCTAGCTATGTATGTCCGTCCGTCTGTCCATGTTAATTTGTAATCAAGCTACAGGTCACAATTATGGCCCGATCTTCACGAAATTGAAACTGGAGGTGGGGTTATGATCAGAATAGAACCCTATTGTTTTTGGAGATAATCGCACGTTATTTAGGGTTTGAAATGGAGCAAAAACAGAAAAATTTCCAGATTTTGCAGTTGCTCTGTGGGCCACAATTATGAACCAATCGACGCGAAAATTTACATGGAGTTAAAGTTTATGAGTGGGCAGAAACCTACACATTTAGGCCATCGGACAAAAATTAGCGGGTAAAATAGACTATATTTTCAATCCCAGCCAAATCAAAAATAGATTAAAAGATCGCTTCCTACCAGTACAGTGATGCTAATAGCCAAGAAATCGGATATACAACAAAATAGGTACAATATATATGTAAAAGAATTGATTTTATTTATTCTGCTTATAAATCAAGAACCGGTGGGCCGATTTTCACAATTACCATCAATTTGGAATGGTCTCTTGACAGAAAACGATTAAATGTAAGAAAGTCGCTTAAAATATACCAATAAAGAAGTGAATACCTTTTGTCAAATATTTTCTATTTTTGTCATATTTTTTCTCGCATGCGATTTTTTCAATTTGACTTACAATTTTGTATTGTAAATTATTGCCCGATCCTCACGAAATTTTGCATGGGAGTAGGGTTAGATTCAGAATTAAAGCCTATTGTTCTTAAGATGTACATTTAGAGGTGCAAATGGACTAAAAAAAATATTTTTTTTCTTATTTTGTAGTCGCTCTATAGGCCACAGTTGAAAACTAATCGACATGGAATTTCGCATCAGAAGAGAGTTAAGGCCGGGGAAGAAATCTAGCATTTTGGATGACCATTGGATTATATTTAGCTGTAAACTTTCGTGTGAGATTGTTTTGAATGCCTAACAACACGACGGAGTTCGTAAATATTAGCCAAATTCTCCGGGTCAAAATCCTAATGGTACCATCTGGGCAGGGCTCTTTGACATTATCTCAAAAACGAAATTTTCCAAAATGGATTTGGACATAAGGGGAGATCGAACATATAGTAGTGTTGTAGGGTATCACATGGTCGGCCCCGCATGACTAAAGCCTTTGCTTACTTGTTAATATTTGTAAAATCCTGGCGTTCAGGTCCGATTAGACATGTGACAAAGACATAGAATTTTAAGTTTGTGGAAAATATATTTGTAGAATATTTTGTATACTTGGTCCCTCTTTGTTGGCGCGTGTGAGGTTTAAAACTGTCTTCTTGAAGAGACAAATTATCAAATATACATCAAAAAACCAGTAAAGAAAGTATTAAAGTCGGGCGGGGCCGACTGTATGATACCCTACACCACTTTGCTAATTTAGTAGAGCTCCACATAACAATTAATAGTTTTTATGGGAGAATTCATTCATACACGCTATGATTATGATTATAATTTAAAGTTCAAAGGACTAAATATGTCGAAGCATTTGTATCTTTTAAATTCGGAATTGTATTGCCCATTTGGTGCACAATTAATTTGAAATCGGAAAAAGACATATATGGGAGCTATATCAAAATCTGAACTAATCTCGATAAAATTTAGCAAATGTATTTCTGAGCTGTATTTTATATATTTCCCCAAATATTGTTGTTTCAGAGTGCATATTACGGCTGCGGAGGGCAAAAATAACAAATCGGATGAACAATATATATGGGAGCTATAGCTACATCTGAACCGATTTCGATCAAATTTGGCATACTTATTTTCAGGCCTATGAAAAATTCCATACAATTCACGCTGATATTACACGTTTGGTGCACAATAAAAGGCAAATCGGACGAAGATATATATGAGAGCTATATCTAAATTTTGACCGATTATCTCCAATTCCAATAGGGTTCGTCCTTGGACCCAACAAATGATCTGTGCAAAATTTCATCTGGATCGCGCAATAAATGCGACCTGTACTTTGTTTACAAAAATACATGGACAGACGGACGGACATGCATAAATCGACTCAGAATGTGATTCTATGCAGATCATCAAAAGGAACTATGGGTCTATCTCATTTCCTTTTGCCTGTTGCAAACAAATGCACAAAGACATAATACCCTGACCACCTTGTGGTGTACGGTATAATTACCTTTGGCTTAATAAGGCAAAAATTTGAAATAAAAATATTTTCGGCATAAGCCCGGCTGGGATTGAAGCCTACTACCTTGCAAATCAACGAAAAGTGTTGCCGGCATCTTAGCGTTCTAATCTATAAAACACTTGTAAACACTTCCGAACTGGAAGATAAATATGTTTTTTTATTTTATTTTTTTACCTTCGCTTGCTTCCGTCCCTTAAAAGGGCATATTTTTGCTGGTCGGAATGCCTACCAAGAACTTTATGATAACTTTAATTTCATTAGCATCCACAATCGTGTTGGGTATTTTATTAGTTGTAAAGCGTTGCTAATTCTATTAGTTTTCCAACAATGATTGAATTTTGTCAAAACCAAACCGGTTTGCACCTAATGAAGTGGCCATTCTTGTTGCGAAGTATTGTTTTCTTCTTTGAATTGATAAATGAAGAAGATTTTTTTGGTAGCATATACTGCCCATTCAGATATCGATGGAAGCTGGACAGAGTGTTGTTGGTGGGTTTTGTTAGGTTTTTATATTGGACCCCCTTCAGCTGACAATTTTATGCAAACATATACATATACATCCAACTGAGAATGTTAACAGAATATATTTATGTTTTACTGTTAATAACACAATGGGAACATCAAAGTTTGTGTGTGTGTTTGTGTAATGTTCTAAGTGCTTGTCTTTTTCTTAAGCCTTCTCAAAATTCTCAATGTTGAAGTATCGATGTCCAAAAAAAATTAGTATAAATGGCACTTACAGATGAGATGACCAGTTAGTTGACGTCGTGCCGCTACCTTTATTGGATTACCTAAAATTTTGTGGATTCAACGCCGTTAGTTTTACCCTTCACCATGAAACCTTTCACCTGTCTTTTGGTGATTCTTGCCCTTTTGGCCAGCGGCCAATGCCATAACGTACAAAAACGTTCCCTCGGCCAATTGCAGAGTTTGATTAGCTCCAAACTTGGTCTGCTCGGTGGATTAGGAGGCGGCGTTGGGCGTTCTGCTGCTTCATCATCGGCTAGTGCCAGTGCTGGCGGCTATGGCGGTGGCCATGGAGGTTATGGCGGTGGCGGTTATGGTGGTGGCCATGGAGGTTACGGTGGTGGCGGTTATGGTGGTGGTCATGGAGGCTACGGCGGTGGTGGTTATGGTGGCGGTTCATCCGGTGGCGCTGCCAAAGTCATTGTTGTTCATGTCCAAAGTGCTGGTGGTGCCGGAGGTTATGGTGGTGGTTATGGTGGCGGAGCTGGCGGCTGGAGCCAAGGTGGTTCAGGCGGTTATGGTGGTGGTTATGGTGGCGGAGCTGGCGGCTGGAGCCAAGGTGGTTCCGGCGGTTATGGCGGTGGTGCCGAAGCTGGTGGCTGGAGCCAAGGTGGTTCCGGTGGCTGGTAAAAACCAAAAGCCCAACATCATTTTTAGCGAAAAATAGAGAATCATAACAAACCACAAACTAGCTTAAGTCATTAGTTTAAGCAAACCTTTAGAAAACAAAATGGAAAAAATATATATTTTTTTTATAAAAAAGAACATTTTTCAATTTTTATTTTAAGAAGTCAAAGCTTTAACAGAAATTAGTAAAAATTATCAAGGAAATTGGTACAAATTTTCAAAATTTAAAATCAAATGCTAAAAATTTCATGATTCCAGTTCTATGACTTCATCATCCTATGACCGCTTTACACCAAAAAAAAAACAAATTTGTTTTTTTTCAACTTCATCAGAATTTTTGAATTCTAGGCCAATAGCAGAATTTAGTTTTTTTACAACCAATTTCCAAAACTTCATCTTATATCATATACAGGGTTGCCCATATTTGACGGACCCATCTGGCAACGCCATAACTTTTGACAGAGATGTCACATCGCTTAATGACATACCGCGTTTGATTTTTACGATGAACCAATATACGCCACGCGAGCGCTCTGAAATAGTTGAAATTTACATTCAACAGTAGAAGTCAATTGTGAAAACTCAACGAGCTTTTAAAACATTAAAAAATGTGAGAAGTGCGCCTTCTAAGAACACCATTAAGCGCTTATACGAAAAATTTTCTACTGGTAAGGCTCTTTCTAATCCGAAGAGGCCATATAAAAGTCGACCAAGGCGATCAGCCGAGAATATCGCTGCCGTACGAGCCAGTGTTGAGAGGTCCCCAAGAACATCCCAAAAACGCCGTTCTCAGCAGTTGGACATGGCTCGGTCCACTTTACAACGGATTATTCGAATTGATTTGCATTTGTTCCCGTACAAAATTCAATTGACGCAAAGAATGTTGTCTGCAGACAAGTCTCGTCGATTGGAATGGGTCATGGGTCCTGTATATCACTGTGGAAACCAGAAAATTTTTACCAAAAATCCAGTAGATTATGAAAGTAGAGCTAAATAAAAAAGGAGACACGAGTATCGTCATTTTGAAAGTTTACATCGAAAAGTATGCAAAATAGAGAGGTCAAATTCCACCCTCTTTCACAATTTCGGAAATTTTCGAATTAAAATCCCTCAGAATTCCTGCATTTTGTCTTCGGCAATATTGCAAATAAAACTAACAAGAATTTTAAGCCTCGATAGAGTCAAATAGGGGTCTTTTGGGTCCTTATTTAAAGTCAAAATATTTCTCAAAATAATTTTTAAATTTTTACGGCCGAGCCGAACTTTTAATACCCTCCACCTTAAAGTAAAGGAAACAAACCAACAAATACCAATTTTTAGACATATTCGTGGGAAAATGTGGCAAAAATCATCAAAATATCGGAAGGTACCGTTATATCAGGGCTATACCAAAACGTGGACCTATACATACAATGTTTCGCTATAAGAGCTAGAACCCATTATACCCTACAAATAACAATTTTTAGACAAGTTCGTGGAAAAAAGGTAGCAAAAATCATCAAAATACCGAATATCGGGAGGTACCGTTATGTGGGGACAATACTAAAACGTGGACCGATATATCTCATTTTCAATACCAACCATCCTAGACACAATACAAATTGTTCTGCTAAATTTCGACGCTCTACCTCATATTGTGTGGGCTGTATGATTTCAACAGACAGACAGGCATCGATAAATCGGCTTAGAATTTTATGCTGATTATGAATGTATATACTTTATGGGGCCTACGACGACCCCTCCTTTCTAAAGTGGAGGGTATATATTTTTTATTGGTGCAATAGATATACCTGACCGAGTTTCACTAAATGGTAAAATTCGGTGGAATATGAAAAAAACTATTCAATTTAGGCTGATGGTTAGTAAATCTGTATGTAAAATCGGGTGGAGATGTATATCGAAGCTATTAAAAAATTTGAACCGATCTCAATAAAATTAGCAGAAGTATTTTCGAGCAGTATCTGATGCCCGGTATGAAATTTCATTCTTATGGAGTGCATATTACGAATGTGAGGGATATAAACACCAAATCCGATGAAACATATATGTGGGAGCTATAGCAATATCTGTACCAATTTTCTCCAAATTTGATGTATTTTCTTTTAGACTGAATTCGGTTGGATGTGTTATATCCTAATCTGATTCGATAACATTTGACGAAAGTATTTTTGTGTTCCATAAGTTGATGTACTTGCTTCTAAACTGAATTCGATCGGATGTGACAAAATTCAGGACATTTGGGCTGATATTGGCCATTTGGTGCACAATTAACCCGAAATTGGTTGAAGATGGGAGCTATATCTTAATCTGAACTTCTCATCAATTCTCATCAATTTCAATAGGTTTTATCCTTGGGCCAAAAACATATTGTTTGGAAATTTTCATCTCAATCGGATCGCAACCTGCATTTTGTTCACAAAAATACATGGATGGACGAAGGGACAGAAACATTTTTAATACGAATTTCCAAAATCAGCTCATTGTTCTTTCCTTTTTAATTTTTTGGTTTCTCATAAATATCGATCTACCCACGAAGTATTGATTTTCTAATCCTAAAAGTACAGATTTGATTTGATTATACTGAACCCTTAAGGTTTTGGATTATTTTAACCTCTTTATATACTTTAAAATTTGATAAATATTTTCAAAAATGTAAAATTTTATACGCCAATATTTCATGAACTTTAGCGATTAACAGGTCAGTCACCCAACATATTTACATAAATATTTTAAAGAGTTAATAGGTGAAACAGCAAATAAATACCGGAATACAAAGCGGCAGTATATAAAACAGCTCTTAACTATTTCCAATAAATTGTGGGCTGGGCTGTATTGAAAAAACATTTAAAATATAAATAAACAAATACCAAAAAAAAAAAAAAAAAAAAAAAAAATAAATAAATAAAACTTACTATACGAGATTAAAAAGATTTAATTATGTATGTTCCGGCTTCTGATACCTTTTTTGAAAATGACAAAAAACACTTTTTTAAAACAAACATTTATTTTTAGTTATTGAATTTCTCAAAAATGTGTTTCTATGTTTTACATCTCTTCACAGTCCACATGTTTGCTGTTTGTCTGACAAATCGCTAAAACATATTGACAATTTGTATTCACTCAATACTAGAAAACCTGTTTTACGACATCTTCAACAAGCTTGGCAAATGTTAGAATATTTGAATAATTTTTTGCTTAATTTAATATTCATCTTAATTTTTATTTTCTAAAAAAAAACAAGTATAGTTTTAACTATTTAAATGAGTTTTTTTTATTTTATTTGATTAAAAATATTGAAACTTTTTTCGACTTGTTCACAAAAACAACCATCAAATGCTTTTTTGGGATTCCCTTGTCTTCTCCCAAACTCGCGATTTCTTCTTCTTAACATACAGCGAAATGTTCTCAAGTTATTCTCATTTTTTTGAAGTCGTCTTTCTGTCTTTGTTATAATAAACCACACATTAGCCCCCAGCTGGGTTTATACATCGCAAACTGTGCTATATTAGATTTCAGTTTTCTTTTACAGTTTCAGACTAATTAATAAACTTTCGATTTCGGCCTAACGCATTTTTAATAACTTTCTAAATTTTAAAATATATTTTGCAAATAAAGTCTTGGTACATTTAAAATATAAAAATTTTCCGTGTTTCTCACACATGCCTGGGGCTAAAAGGTAATGGACAGGGGGATGGTTATAAAAACTTTTAATACCCTCCATTATTTGTGCCGATATTTATTAATCGTGCGGTATCATAAAAATATCGAATACCTGGAGTTCTGTGCGAAAAAGTGGATTAATGTAGAAAACACTGTACACGAAAATTCAATGTTTTCAACAATTGCGGGAAAATCCAGCAGATTGTGAAAATAGAATTAAACGGTTGAACTTTTAATACCCTCCACCATTTTGAAGGACCTTGAAAATTTTCAAAAAAATCGTAGATAAAACCTGTTCCTTCAAAAAAAAATTTTATCGTAGACTGTGTACCCATTACGAACTTCAATTTCGAGATTTCAAACAATTATATATATACTTTGTAGTTACAAGTACGAACTTCAACTACGAAATTTGAAACCATTCCCGTTAAAAAGTCGTTCAAGTCATCAAAATACCGACATGGAGAGGTACCGTTATATGGGGGCTAAACGAAGATGTGGACCTGAATACGAAATTTTTTTTCACAGGCTGTAGTACCTGTTACGAACTTTAATTACGAAATTTGAAACATTTCCGGTCTATAATGTCTCGGAAATCACTAAAATACCGAATGCTGAGAGGTATCGTTATATGAGGGCTATATGGAAACGTGAACCGAAATGGCCCATTTACGAACTTAACCTGCCTTCTGGCAAAATACAGCCTTCTATCTCAATTTGTTCAAAAGATAGTGTGATTACAACAGACAGACGGACAGCGCTGGATCGACTTAGAATTTTACTCTAATCAAGAATAGATAGATAGATAACCTGACACGAGTATTTCGAGGAGTTACATACGGAATGACAATGTTATTGTACCCTTCATAGTATGGTGGAGGGTATAAAAAAGAAGACTATGTATCAGCGGTTTGAAGGTTTGCAAAGTAACCAAAATAGAGGGAGTAATTTACCCCCTCTATTACACACTTTTAGAATTTATCTTTTTTTAAACGTTATAGTGTCTTCTGCAACATTGAAGTAAAAAATACGAGAAATCTCTTGCTCTAAATATGGTTAAATACAAATTATTTGTCATAAAATTCTACTATATGCCCTACAAGACGTCAAATTTCTAAATCTAAAATAAACGCCTGACATTCCTTCAGAAGGTCCCTAGCTATATGGTCAAAACTATATAAAAGCCTTAACTAATCCTAAGAACCCGTAACTTCTTTAGGGCTTTGATCTACAAAGGAGTACTAAAAAAGTACACTTGGAATTTACCACTATGTTTTGGGGGTATTATAAAATTCCTATCTCGCCGATCTAGCTATGCGTGTCCGTCCGTCTGTTGCTGCAGTTAAGCCCCTATCCTGACGAAATTTAGCAAGGTCAGAATAGAAGCTTATTGTTTTTAGAGATGATTGCAAAATATTTAGGCGTTGATATGGA